TATGTATGTATGTATGTATGTATGTATGTATGTATGTATGTATGTATTTTTTTCCCTAAAGTTGCTTGTAGCAGAGGCCTTTTTGGCCGGTCCTTGGGCCTTAGGCCGGTGGGAGCAAGATTCGAGGCCTCATTGGCTCAGTTGGTCATGTCCCTGGGCTTCGTCAGTAGTGCTCGTATCGGCCGTCTAGAAGAAGTCGACTGGCATGACATCCTCATCATCTTCCAGGCTCTCTTCCTCGGCTGTTTCTGGGCTTGTGCGTTGCTGGCCCGCAGTGGGCTGTTGTGCATCCACAATGCCTGAAGGCCTTGATCCGGTTGCTCGGCTGGGTATCATGGCCTGTTCCGGATCATGCTCATCTTCCCTCTTCGTGAGTGGTGTGGTGAAGTGTAGGCGTTTCGGCCGAGGTCCTGTGTTGGACAGTGTTGTGGCCTGTGTGTGTTTGAGGCCTTGGGGCTCTGCCGTCGCTGGTGTTGGTGGTGTAGCCTTGAAGAAGGCATGTATGGGTGGGGAGCCTTGTGTACCAGCTCCTCGACATTCCTTGAGAAAGGTGGTCGACGTGATAATGCGACGATTGCTGTCCAAATGGAGCTGCAGTCCGCAGCCGGTGCAGCTGATCTTTTGTCCCTTTTGCCACAACTTGTGGCTTGGGTGGCCTTTGTGTTCACCTTCAAAGGGGCAGTCCAGGCATGGTCCACTGATGTAGTCCTTGAATGCCTGCTCATTGACCCGCTTGTGGACACTGGTTCCGCACTTTGTGCACTTAAGGTAGCCGGTGGTCTCTTCAAAGTGATGCTCGTGCGGGGCCGGGTCCTTGTTTGTTTGGTCATTCAACAAGTTCCGGATGACCTGCGCCCTGGTGAGTTTTTTGGTTGGCCCTGAGGCTTCCGGTCCTGGCTCGGGGCATGCTTGCTCTGCCAGCTGCTGATTGCATGGTTCCCCCAGGCGATCTTCAAGCTGCTGGGTTGTGAGCCCTTGATGCATGCGTGTGCCGCAGGTGGTGCATGCATAGCCGCTTCTCTGAGGGGCCCACCTGTGGTGATTCTCCTGCCAAGGCTTGGTGCACTGGTGGATGAGCTCTTTTTTCCTCTGTTTGGTCTGCTTGCCAGGTTGCCTGTCTGCTTTGGTGTGGAGGTAGTGTTGCTTATCCTGGAAGATCTTCTCAAGTCGTTGTACTGCCTGAAGGTAGATTGCTTTGTGGTCCCGGTCAAGGGTTGTCTGCCAGCTGGTTTGGCGGCGGTCATGGAGGGCATCAGCTCTCTCCCACGCAGTCAGGGCTGCATCTCGTTGCCGCCGGCGGAGCTGTGGCTCATTGCCTGGTGCGTCTGGTGTTCGGGTGTTTTTGCTGATGTACAGGACGGTGATGCGTTGTCTGTCCTGTGGCGTGACCTCTGCCAGGAGGTCAGGGTAGGGATGCTTGTGTGGCGGCTTTTGCCATGCTTCCCAGACAGTGCTCAGTTGGACGATCACCTTGGCTGGTGTTGTGGTGTGCTTGGCCAGGGCAACTAACCCAGCAAAGAGTGCTCTTCCCTTGCTTTGGTGGCCGCTGGCTGCTCCCGTGATGGCTCCAAGGCGTTTCAATTGCCCCATCGTTTGAGTGTGGAGGCATAGGCCGAAGACCCAGATTTGGCTTCTGGTGTCATAATGGCTGGGTGTTGCATCGAGGGTGAAGGCAAAACCAGCGTATTGGTCCGGGCCAATGGGTTGCAGCTCCTTCCACACTCCATGCCCTTGGTAGGGATGCTGCTGGTGTAGGTGTTCTTGAGGTTCAAGTGGAATCCAGCCCTTAGACCACAAGGCCTCTTCCTCCGGGTTGGTGATGCGGTCAAGCCAGTCTGCTGGGAGCGGCTTGTGCGTCTGCGTTTTGTGCCATTTGCACAACCAGAGCACATGCTTGGCTGTGGCCGGGACGTGACAAATGGGACATGGTTTAGGTCCCTTGGCATCTCGGTAGTGGATTGCTCCTTGCACCCATGTTTGCAAGTGCCGTGCCTGTTGCTCAGGCAGCTTGGGTTTGAGGATGCGGTACGTGTGCCAGTCCAACCCTGTAAGCAGGTGTTGGTGTTGAGGTCTATTGGCAAATCTGTGGGTGCGCTGCTGATGTGCCTCAGTGGTCAAGTGGTGTTCGATCTGCCACCACTGGTCTGTGATATGCAGTTCAGCTGCGAGCATGATGTCTGTGGTTGGTCGGGTCCAGTGAAGCAGATCTTGGACGTTCCATCCCCACTCAAGCATGTAGGCTATCGTGGCTGCCATGGGTCCTTTGACAGTGTACCACGGATGCTGCTTGGCCTGTAGACTCTCAAGTGTGGCCGTCCAGGCTTGCCGTAGCTGTGGAAGCTGTTCTTCTGGCCAGGCTTGGATGAGTTGGTGCATGGCGCGGATGTGGTGGATGATGATCTGGTCCGCGGGGTCCATGTATTTGCTTTTGTGGATGTCGTAGGTGACATCAAGGTTGCCACCAGTGTGGTGACCGAGCTGTTTGGCCAGTGCGTGCCTGAGGGCTTGCCTGTACCTGGGTGCCAGGCCTTGACTTTCAACACCCCATACGGCAACTGGTTGGATGCCTCCCCTGTGAAGTCGAAGTCGCACACGTAGTGCTGGAATTTTCAAATTTCTCAGCTTGAGCTTGCGCTGTTGCGCCTTCTGCATCCTTTGCTTCATGACTGGGATGCGTCGGGCTCGCCCTGCCTGATGGTCTATGCCAAGGTCTCTCATCACTGGCACCACGGGGGGTTCATCTTCTGTGAGGATGTCCTTGAGGGCCCTGTTGACCTGTTTGTCTGTGCCTATGAAGGCAGTCTTTTTGGCACTCACCTTAATGCCAAGTTGTGTGAGCCGTTGGTGAAGGTCTCGGTAGGCCTCAATGGCCTGTTGGGCGACCTTCTGGGGTGTGGTGCCTGCTGTGTCATAGCCAATGTCGTCCACCCAGCTGGAGAGATGGATGTGTGGATGCTGTTCATGCCATGGCGCAAGGGCTGGTGTGAGGACAGCTTTGGCTAGTAGGGGTGCTTGGGGGCATCCGGCAGGGACTCCTTGATCCACATGGAAGAAGGGTGTCATTTCCTGTTCTGCAACGATTGCTTTTGGGCCGGTGTACAATTGCATGGCCATCTCGAGCATGAGGGGTGGGTAGTTGATGGCGATGGCCTGGTCTTGCAGTTGCTGTAGTTTGATGGTGTCGTAGAAGGTGGATAAGTCCATAAGGACTGTCACCCCGTGGCGTCTGTTGGCTCGGTGGACTTCTTGTCTCAAAAGCCTTTCTAAGGCCACCTGCAACACCTGAGCTCCGGGTCTGGCACGGTCGTGGTGCATAAAGTCCGGGAGGTCTGCTTGCCATGCATCCAGGACGGGCTTACGGAGGCGGCACCAAAGGCGGTACATGGTGGATGTCAATGTGATTGGCCGCTCGATGTTGGGATTTTTGGCCAGCATGACGACCATGTGCATTTGCATTTGTGTGGGCAGCAGGGCACTTTGTTCCATGTCCTGGATGAGTTTGAGCAGTGGGCCCAGGGCCAGTGGTGGTGCTGATCGAAGGAGTTGAGCTGAGACCGCATCAGGTCCGCTGGCCTTGTCTGGTAGGCCCTTGATTGCTCGGCTGAAATGGCCCATGGTAATGGGTGGTAGTGCCAATGCCTGGCGCTGTGCCTGCTCGCGAAGGCTGGTTCTCGGAGCTGGGTTGTTGTCCTCACGAATGTTCCACAGGGCTCCCCAGTCGGCCAGGCGTTGGTTCATTCGCTTGTCGGGTTCGATGTCTCTGTAGGGCCGTTTCCATGGCACTTCACTGCTTTTTAAACTGCGGAAAAGGCCTTTGAGGCCTTTGGCATGCCCCTGGGTAAGCCAGGTCTTGTACTGGAGGTGCAACTCATCATTTGCGGCCTGTTGGGCTTCGTGTTGTTGATGCTGCATTGTGTGCTGTATCAGTTCAGCTGCATGTTGATCTTTGTAGGTGTGCCAATGATGACAAGTGTCCAAGAATTGGCTCCAGGTTGGTGGTCCTAACCATTTGGTCTGTATGTCTTGGATGGCCCGCATGAACCCTTTGGTGGGGCCGCCAGCTTGTGTGATTGGCTGTTGTTGTGCTAGCCGAAATCTTGCCTGGAGTTGTTCCCAAAAAGCTGCCCTTCCCTTTTTCCAGGTGCCTCCTGGTTTTGGTGCCGCGAGGGGCTTGATGCTCACATCGAGGTTGGCCCCTCTGCCTCTGGCGGCCCATGGGTGCTCTTGCAGGAGGTATTGTTCCGTGGAGGAAATCCAGTCCGCCCAGGCTTGCGCTTTCTCATTGACTGGGATGTTGTAGAGGCAGAGTTCATAGGCCTGGGATTGGAATGTGGTCCATGGCCGGAAGTCGATGTCGGGCACCGGGGGCAATGGTGGAAAGTATTGGATTTGTCTGAACTCCTTTGTGGCTGCTTCAATGTCCAGGTGCAACGTAAGTAGTGCATGTGGTCGCCATGGTACCGCCCAATCAGTGGTGAGGGCAGTGGTGCTGGAAAGGGATGTATGGATCAGGCTGAAATCAATGACATTGCCTGAAAGCATGCTGACGTCCGGCGCCAGGATGTCAAAGTGGAACTTGGAGGGCAGTACTGTTGTGGAAATTGCACTGGGCTTGTTCTGCCAATCTCCAATCAGAATGAAAGGATGTGTGGTGGTTTGCAGCAGGGCTAGCAGCTTGGAGATGATGGTGGCATTAGTCTCACTTTGGATGCCCTCATTGGTGCGGAGGTAGATGCCGGCAATGAGTACTGTCAGTTCGGTGGCCTGCCAGAGGAAGGCTTGGTATCCACATCCTTGGAGGGTGAAAGATTCAACCGGTGTGAGGCAGCTGGACTGGTCACCGAGTACCAGGATGCCTCCATGGGTGCCCGAGGTATCACTGTTGGGCCAAGCTGGTGTGCCAAACGCTGTGCGGCCTCTGACGGTGTAGTACTGGCACAACTGCTCATGTTGCTGTGGGTCTAGGTGTGTCTCCACGAAGATGTATGGTTCGCTGGTGCGTGTCCAGTACCAGTCTGTGACCTGTCTGCCAAAATTGGTGATGTTGGCATAGTGTATTCTGTTATGTGTCTGCTCGAGCCTGGGCCTCTTCTCAGGACTGGGGTGAAGTGGTGGGTCAAAGTCTGGCTCTTCAGGCGGTGGCAATCGCTGGATGATCTGTTGTGTGGTGCTGAATGTGTCGATGTGTACCGCCCATATCTGGACCACTTGACTGGCTAGTTGTGGTGTCAGGTGTGGTAGATGTGTTGGGACCTTGCCATCATCTGCTAGCCATAGGAGGTCGCGGTAGATGAGGATGGCAAAATAGTGCCCTGCTTCATGGTTTGGTCCCCTATGGCAAATCAATGCCGCCGGGACGAACTCCGTGGAGGCTCTGGCAAAGCCATCCATGGATCTGGGTACCGTGAAGGTGCCATAAGGGTTCAGGACCTTCTTGTGCTTTGTGGCCACCCCTTCAACTGTAGTGTTGCGAGTGATGTGGGTGACCAGGATGGCTTTGTCGTCAAGCAGGTATTGGCCTAGGCCTTCATTGGCCCAACCATTCATCAAGGTTTGGACGGTGGTGTTCTCAGGCCAATCTTGTGGAAAGTCAACCAGCAGTGGTACTTGCACATGATCGGCCAAATAGCCGCCGGCCTTGATCTCTGCATAGCGGTAGTGGAATGCTCTGCTCTGAGACAGGTTCCAGAGGGTGTTCACAAAGTGGTTGGCGTCCCCTTGCACATTGAGGTCATGTTTGGTCCAGAGGCGATGCAAACCTGGTAGCTGTTGGATGTCCACTGCCTCTGCCAATTCAAGGGACTCTTGGACTGCTGCGTGCAAGGTGCCCCAAGGTTCGGTGTGCGTCTCTTGAAGGAGTCCGCATGTCCACGTGAATGCTCTCCATGGTGCATTGGCAAAACACCGGGAGCTGGGATTCCCTATAGCCATGGACAGGTTTTGGAGTATGCACTCTGTGGTAGAGGCATAGGTGTTCTGCATCTTGGGTTGTCTCCCTGCCGTGGTGTGCTTGGTCTGCGAGTAGTTGGCTCCACCTTTGATGGCTATGATGTGATCTCCAGGTGCCCCGCTGGAGAGACCATCCACAGGTGTGGCCGGTGCAATGGTACTATCAAAATTGTGCATCTGCTTGTTGGATGCCTGTGTGTGCAACATATTGGTGGCATCCCCTGCACCAAGTGTTGTCTGTCCCTGTGCTTGCAAAAATGGTTCCTTCCTGTCAAATGGTGACTTGTCCCCTGCACCGTGGAAGGAAATCCCTGACTGGATTGAGCCGGATGCAGCACGGCAAACCGGTGATTGGTGTGATGCCTCGAAATCTTCCCAGGGAATTGGCACCTGAAACGCTGGGAGGTGATGTTCGAGATGGGGACTGTTACCCACACTGTGTCCCTGGTAGGGTGGGTGTGGAGTCAGTCTTGCGGCGCTTGTTGATGTCCTCATCATCAGTCTGTGGTCGTTTAAGGAGTCCATGGAGTTGGGTCCGCTGATCTTCTGTCAGGTCGATTCCCAAGCTGGTGACAAAGGTTTCAACTGCCATAGGAATGGGTAAGTCCTTGGTGTTCTCACCCTCGAGTCCTTCAGGCATGGGAGTTTGGGTGACCTTCATGTATTGGTCGGATAACTGCTTGAGTTTGGTTTGGCCATCAGTCAACTTGGTTTGCAGGTCCTGCATGTCCTGAAGCATAGCAGCATACTGTGACTTGATCTGGTCCAAACGAGACTGGAGTTGGTTTTTCTTGATTGATGCCGTCTTCAATTCTCCTACTTGTGCCTTCAGCTTGTTGGCCAGCTCTTTTTCATGTATGTATGTATGTATGTATGTATGTATGTATGTATGTATGTATG